AATTCTTTCCTAGCCAGAAAAATACCATGGTTGTTGAACATTTTCTCCACTGCCAACATATTGATCTAGATGCTGCAGAAATTACATAGAATGCTTTTTAAAAAAATTTGTTTATGCATTCATTTAATAGACTTTTTCTTGAGTACCTACTAATGACCATATTCTAAATTTTTGGGTTTGGATTTAAGAAACTGAGTTAGACAAAGTTTCTCTCTTCAACATATAGACAAATAAAAGTGATAACACAGTGTGGTAATTTTAGTGATCTAGATATGGAACAAAGCATTGTGATAGTTTTCTAAAAGACTGCTTTACCAAATCTTTTTGAATCATGAAAACTTTCACAGCAAGGGAGATGCTTAAAGGTTATGTAGGGTCTTAGAGAGTCCATTAGAAAAATAAGACCTATACTGAGCTTGTTTACATTTGATTATGAGGTCATTTTTGTGTGAAAACTGACCTCTAAGTTCTTAAGTTCCATCTGTTATTTTTGCCACCCCCAAACCCCCCCACAGTTGCATACATGCTTCACTTTTTATTTTTCTGTTTATTTAGTGACTTTAAATCAACAGAATAACTGAAAAACAGGTGTTATGATATTATAGACTCACTTTTGTGATGTAATTACTGCAGGAATGCATTTATCCATATTCCAAAGAACAGTTTAGTGTTTTTAGGTTTACTGAGTGTTTTAAGCACAAGAATTAGCACTGAATAATTATGTATGAAGGATTTGCAAATAATTTTTCTCTCTTTATTCCAAAGTAATCATGTTGTGTTTTCTGAATTTATTTAGAGCCCCAAAACAGGTATCTAGGGAAGAGTCTTTTTACCATTCTTTTTGTCAGCTTTGTCACTTATCAAATGGGAATATTGCTACTATTACTAACAATAACACCAATTTTACCTTACTAGTTTGAGGTGAGAGTAAAATCAATCTGTGTGAGAACATAATGTGTATAACTAGTCACAGTTGTTAATACATTATGTAACTTTTGATTGTCAAATACTTAAGTCCAGGTGAATGCAGCTTAATTAATTATTATTTACCTTTTCCCCCAAGCTTTCTGAGATAGCTTCATGTTGAGTACCTACTAATGACCATATTCTACCCCTAAGGTAATCTTAGGGGTAGAATATGTTTACCCAAAAGTGATTGGGAGCAAGTGCTGTATGTTTAATAGTATTGCTGAATTATTTAATTTTTAAAGTACTACTGACATTTTTGCTTAGGATTCCCCAAACTTCTTACTTAATTTCCAGATTATAAGTTCTTTTGATAGAATCCTTCTTAATATCACATGAAGAAGTTGAGCATTACCTTTAGACCAAAGCAATTTATGTTTAAAAAATCTGATTAATTTAACACAATCAGCAAGGATGTCAGAAGATCTCAGTGCCTCTGATAGATGCTGACAGGTGAGAAAATTAAAATTAAGGAGGGAAGCAATTAAATACTGGCAAACATTACTTTAATGAGACAACCAAATCATTCATAAGCCATGGAATATGTAGTATTCATGATAAGTATCTGAGGGTGGCGGGTGAGAGTGTGCATTTAAATATATTCTTCATAGAGGGTTTGATGATGGCAATAGATGACATTCTATGTTTGTCACTAATACCTTTGTTCTAATCTAGCATTTCAGTTGCTCTTGGGGACAGATGCCCTAATAATCATGCTTAATATTATGACATTGTTGAATTAACAAGTCTTAATATAAGTCATCCTTTCACCATCATCTTTACAACCACATAAAACTTACCAAAATGCACAGAGTCTAGACAAAATAATTTCTGGCTTTTTCACAGTGGTTTAGTGATAACCATGGTCAAGACCTGTGAAAGGAGAAACAGAAAAGTATATGTTTCATGCAAATTTTTATTAAAATATTTGGGAATTATAGGACTAAGAGCAGAACTCAGGTCCTCAATTTTCATGCAAGTATTGTTTTCAAGATAGTATCCCCTTTTCAGAAAGAACACCTGGGACCACACTATTTTGAGGAGCTATCCATTTTTGGCTTTAGTGGGAGTTTTAAAGGTCCTTTCGTATTTTTAATTGAAAATATAGCACTCATAAAATAGAAAGTATTAAGAGGCACTTTTACATTGGTCTCAGCAAATCTAGTGCCAAATGGTTGGATTTTTTGTTCATAATGTTAGAATCATCATCCTAAAGTAATATTGCTTAACAACTACCTAGAGTACAGTGGTCAATTCAAGAGGTATGATGGTTTCTGAAAAACTTATTGAAACAGGTTTTTCTATGCTTTCTTTTCTCATGTTCTACTAATATTTTCTGCTTTTCTTTTTTATTCTCCATCATTTTTCTTTCCACTCTCATTTCTCCTGTGGTTTTAGTTATTTCCTCCTATTTTTCCCAAAATGTAGTAGAAATGATCAATTATTCGATATTAGTCCCAACTAGATTTATTGAGTTATGCTTTTGCATAATTCTCATTAATAAGTTGAAGTTTTATAAGTTAGATGTTGATTGTACCGTTTTTTTTTGTTTGTTTGTTTTTTGCTTAATATTGGTTTTGGAGATGAGAATATTTTTTGTTAGGAGAGGATGCGTGGTTTGATAGAAGCAGACATGCCAAGTTCTGGTTCAGCAGTCATGAAATACACAGAGGCAGCAAAGGATACTGGCTTCATTAATAATATGCCAGGATGGGATTTGTCAATTGTCCCAGATCTCTTTTCTGGTCTCGTGGAGAACTCCATTGGATCAGGAAACAATCAAGAGTTCCTGAGGACAGATGACACTAAAATCATATGATGAAGGCTTGGTGAAGACTTCTTATCTGGAAGGCTTCAGCTTTTCTAAGATGAGACTTACTCATGAAGTAAGTCACTTTTATGAAAATTTCACAGTGTCAACTTCTGTTGTTTCTGTGGCTTGTGCTTTGAGAGCTTGCTCAAGGATGTTACTTCTTTGAAACCTCACTGGGGAGAGCTGAGAAAGTGTTCATGGTAACCCTGCACCTAACACTCCTTCTGCATCAGCTCAGTAATGTGTTACCTTCTGGTTAGACCACAGATGTGAAGTGTTCTCTCCTTTCACTTGCCAGTGAAGCAGGGCTCAATACTGAATGTATTCTGGTGACTTGACAGTTGACTTTTATGGACAATTTAATGAGTAGAGACTCATTTTCCCTTTCCCTACAAATAGAGCACACCCAAATGAAAGGTTGCATTGTGAGTGGGAGGGATCTTGCTGGTTTCGGTGTCAAGGCACATGGTTATTTATTTTTAATCTGTTTCATATTAACCATGTAATCATTGACATTTTGTTTCCCTGTTGGTAAAATTGGGGTCATAATGACAATTATTTGAGATAAAACAGTCATGCAGGCCCTGGCAGATGAGGCTCAGTTAGTTGGGCATAATCCAATGCAGGGAAAGATTTCTAGTTTGATTCCTGGTTGGGGCACATGGCCAGGTTTTAGTCTCTGTCCCCTATAGGAGGCAGTTGATCAATGTCTCCCTTTCACATTGATGTTTCTCCTCCCCCCTTTTCTCCCCCAAATTAAAAAATCTTTAAGAAAAACAAAAACTGTCATGCAGTATTTTCCACATGATTAATGTTTTGATTTTGGTGGCATATGACAAGAATTTTTTGCAGTGCATCTTACCTATCATGTTCTATTCTTTTTAAAAATATGCTTTTTTGAATTTTAGAGAGAGAGGAAAGGAGAGGGAGAGATAGAAACATCAATACCTATCAGCTGCCTCCTGCATGCCCCATGACAGGGATGGAGCCTGCAACCTGGGCATGTGCCCTAACCAGGAATCAAACCAGTGATCTCCTGGTGCATAGGCCAATGCTCAATGAGAGACACTGGTTAGGCCCATGTTCTGTTCTTAATCTGATTTGAGTCTTATATGAAAATGGGATATATTACAAAAACTTCCTAGAGGTCTAATAATTCTCAGTAAATCTATCCAATATATTAAAGCAAATGCTTTCATTGCAGTCTTGTTAGAAGCACCATATCTCTGAATCTAAGGCACTGAATAAGTATAGACTTTACAAGGACTTGCATTTAGAAGCTGAGGAGTTACTTGACTTTTTATTTTGAGACTTCGCCTTTTTGTAACCGAAGTTCTTTGTGTTGTTGTTATGTGAAATTGACATAGATAAATATTGCAGTATTTTAGGGGCACAGAGTACCCAGTCCAAAGATATTCTCTAGCATCATATGTTTATAAAATCATTGTTTTATCATAAAAACTGGCCCATCGAAAGAAACATAATAGTTGTGACTACCACCACTGTCCATATATATTGTTATGAAATAATGGAACAAATTTTCCAAATAATGTTTAAGTGAGCTTTGGCTATAATGCAAATATTATACATATAAGGAAATTGACACTCAGATAGTAACTTGCCTAAGGCCACTGGTGAGAGGAAGACAAGTTTGACTAGCTCTAAATCCCATGGTGTGTGTCCTACTTCCTCATGTCAGTCAAATATTTCCTTTTATTTTATTATTCCCTCCTTCCACCAAGCCTATTAGATCAAGTCACTGAACTGTTAAGTCTTTGTGTTTTCCCAACCTCATGTATTAGGAGAAATCGAGGTATAAAGGAAAAAGACCATTAGAACAGAGGGTCCAAAATCACACACTGCCTTATATTGTACTATTAATATTTAGTTTTGGCAAGTTATTTACCTTTTCCAAACTCAGTTTCTACATCTGTAAAATGAGGACAATAATACCCATTTATGCAGTTTATTGTGAGAGAGATGTTGGTTCCCTTCTCATCTTCTCTATCCCTCTGTGAACTTGTGTTTCCTTACCTATAAAGTCAGTAGAATAATCTCTTTCTGCTTCTTCATCAGGTTAGTGTGTGGTGAAATGTGATAATGAATTTGAAAATGTTTTGCAAAACAGAAACCACTATGTAGATATAAGAGTTTATGATTATTTAGAAATAAATATGGCTTAATACCTGAGAGTAATTTTTACCTAATCTTTCATTTACAGACTAGCGTTTTGTTGAAGTTGGCTGAAGCTTGTATCCATTGACCATCCTACAAGCTATTATCTGTGGTAAGAGAGGATTGGCTTCATGCTTATGAAATACTAATAGGCATCATGGGCAATAATGTTTAAGGTTGATTTCACTCCCAACGGAAGAAATACAAAGGTCTTTCATGATCACTCAAACTGAAGAATAAACTGCCCTCTTGTGATTTGTCCTTCATTTAAATTTTTCTTTACATTCTTACACCTTAAGGTTTAATGCCAAAAGCTCAAAATTCTGGGCCATGCAGCTGATTCTGATTTAATGAGTATTTAAGTGTTTATAAAATGCTATGTACTGAAATGTTCTTATCTATTTTCATCTTGTATGCCTTGATACCATGTGACAGGAGGACTTTCTCTCTAGTTTCCTGGGTGTGTGTATGTGTGTGTGTGTGTGTGTGTGTGTGTGTGTGTGTGTGTATATATATATATATATATATATATATATATATATATATATATATATATATATAAATAATTATTGTTGTTGATTTTAGAGAGGAAGGGAGAGGGAGATGGAAACATCAACGATGAGAGAGAATCATTGATTGGCTGTCTCCTGCACGCTCTACACTGAAACCAGGCATGTGCCCTGACTAGGAATTCCACTATGACCTCCTGGTTCTTAGGTAAATGCTCAACCACTAAGCAATGCCAGCCAGGCTCCTGGCCCCTTTTTTGAGTGTGTTTTTCATTCCATGATGCTGTAGTGTGACCTGGCTCTGAAGGGACCAAACTTTACTATTTAGGTTCATCACCATTTCTTAGCTGCTCCCCAAAACATCTCGAAAATATATAATCCAAGGTTACAACAATAATTCTTAGGAATAATAAAATGAGTTAGAGTCTTGAAATCCAGGACACATAATATCTGCACTCTACTTTCTTAAATGACCTGTGTGAAGGAGATCGGCCTTTCACTGAAGAATACATTCTTCTCAAATTTGTGCAGAAAATGGATGCCAGAAAAAAAAATTGATAAAGCATGATAGTTGTAAAATTTTCAGAATGTGAATTTTCTTCACCTCTTAGCTAGCTGATATCTACACTTCCAGGTTCACTCTGCTGAGTTCTATGACATAATTTAGAAATCTTAGGCAAAAAGGGGGAAGTAATTAATATGGTATTCCTAACTGTAAGACTAGTATCCTAGAGTCTTTGTGGAAGATCTGATATAAACATAAAAATAATGTAAATGTTTCTGGTTAATATTTTATCTCTTTGTTATATTATTTTCATGATCTTGCATGATCTTGAACTTGTACCAGGGCTTTAGTTACATAGACATTGAAAATAATTGAAGTTTATTGGCATCACTCCATATTTTTAGAAGTTAGCGATTTAGAATTAAGTGGACATCATGGTGTTACATTAATATGATTTTTAAAGCTAATATTCACCATAAAAATTGAATAAGAAACATGTCATGTGCAAATAAAGCGGGTGGTATATGGATGGCTGAATTCCTCTATAATTAGATCAGATGTGGCAACCACTTGTGTTAGATTTTATTCTCATGACTGCAAAGAGAGGGTTACAAGAAATGGTAGTGGCTAAAAATACAAGAATGGCTCCTCCCCATCATTTGGTCCCTAAAATACCCATGGAAAACTCCTCTTTCTCATGTATTTTCATGGATAAATATGTCAGAAAAGAATGACTATAGACATGTAATCATATATTTTGATAGCTCTTTTAGGCAGATATCTAACTTACTAATTTAGAAACTGCAAACATTATATTAATTTTTCTCCAAATGCTAATTGTTAAATATTAATAGAATAAGCTTTGAAAAATGTTAAACTGCCGTCCTCCTTTACACTAAAACCCATAATGAAACTACAAATAGGGGTTTAATCAAGATTGGAAAAATCCTCATATGAAAGAGTGATTTCCTATCTTCTATCTATCTATCATCTATCTATCTATCTATAATATCATCTATCTATCATCATCATCATCTATCCATTTCTGTCTACCTTCTGTATTTTGGAGGTAGGTGTTGGTGGGAAGAGGAGGATAAAAACTTCTCAAATAACCTTTGGAAAATAGAGAAAGAAATATCTTGGGGACCTGCTGTAGAATTTAAAGTAATCTTGTGGTAATAATTGGTATCAGTGGCAGTAATGAAGAGAGAATAACAGTTTAAATAAATAATTAGATTTGACAGTAGATGTGTCAACAGGTACCCACTTAATGAGTGTAATCATTGTTTTTCTACGCTCTTAACATTGATTCACTGACTGTGGTGTGTTCCCTGTCCCATTTCCAAACCAAGTCTATTTAAAGCTGCACTTTATGGAATCTGAAACTGTATACCCTGTTTACTATTTTGAGCTGATACCCAATGTTCTTTAATAGGCAAGATTTGTACTTGAAGAAGAACCGGCTTCTGGCCTCCTGAACACCGTTGATTATTCCTGTTTTCCACAGTCTGTTTTATTAGCAAGGATGAATAATACTCAATTAATTTTCATGGACTTATTTATATTGCTAAAGTGACTTGTTTATTACAATTTGATGGAACAACTCTAGTCTGCCTTAAATCAAATTAATCAGTTATTGTTTCCTGAGGTGGGGATAGAGGCAGTAGTTTTAAATTAAACTATCCTTTGTAGTTACCTGGATAGGATAGCATTGTTTTGGGGAGTGAAGCAGTATGTTTTATGTTATGGTATGTGAACTGGAAGTCATGAGAATCTAATTCTAATCCCAGCTCAGGCCATGTTCCATAGGTAAATCACTTTTTCTCTCCAGGGCCCACTTCAACATCTCACAACAGATGGAGTAGGACAAGTTGATCAAGGCATTGCTTCTATTGAATGTCTTATTATCTGCAATGTTATTTTCTAGCCCCTTCTTTCTCCCTCCTGCTGCCACTTTTCCAAAGTCATAGGAAAGTTCTATGACTCTATGAGAGAGCCTTTTTGAAAGTAGTTATTTTTCTCTTTATTTTTTGAATATTTTACATATGAAAAGAGCATGTAATTATGCATTTGAATTGATTGGGTTTTATGTTTTGTTCATCCACTACCTCCAGTAACATCAAGTTTCTGGTTGGAAGGGGAAAAATAAATCATCTTTCTCCATGTTTCTCTACTTCATAATCTGGTCTCTTTCCTACACCCATTTTCTGATCCAATGAATGATAGGAAGCTGAGATGAGCTCTTATCTGACTGTTTGCTGTGCATAGTTGGGAACATCAATAAAGAGAAGACAGATGAAGGAATAATAATCAAGGGGACAGGAGAATAATAGCCAACACAGTGAAATATAGCTCAAGGCCTGCAATTCCCAGTTGCCATGCTACACAAGATTAATAACAGCATCTCTCACTTTTTTGGGCTTTCTCTCTTCCTTGTTCATGTGGAACTGGGCTGGGACTGAGAAGCAGCTGGAATGAACTTTGCCAAAATCAAACTCATGTTTTCATGACATTCTCAGGTCCAGAGAAGAGAGTAGTAATTATCTATTAGTTAGAATATAATGTAGAAGCCTCTGGATATAAACACTAATCATGGTTCTCCTAATACTGAGATACAGACTATGGAAATCATTTTACTGAGTATCAGGTTCAAATTATGCATATAATTTATTGGATATGACTTTGATGAAGGGATGATCTTCCTTTGTCACTTTCTCCATGAATGAGATAGGAGAAGGAGGAGGGTAGAATAGCTAGCTGAGACCAAGGATTCCCCCAGTCCTGGTTTTTATGAATCTCTGATTTGCCGGAGGTTGCATAGCAAGTTTGCTCCCAAGTCTGGTCTGGAATTCAGCTCCCTTCTCTCTGAATTGAAAGTCATCATTTCTTTCTCAGCTGACAGTTTACCCTTTTTGTAAAGGAGCTGCCTAATATCGTTTTTCGTGTGTGTATGTGTATGTATGCATGTCTGTGTGTGAGCGCACACGTGTGTGTCTGCACAAGCATATAGGTGTGAGTGTGTGTGTGCTTGGGAGTAGAGGAGAGGATTATTAAATATTTGGAAGCTCATATATAGATCTATAAAAAAGTTATACAGTGTTGTCTATACTTTCAATTGTGTAGACCTTTTGAAGGCCATATTAGGTGCTAGGTTAAGTAAAAGATAATTTTAGAGTGGGAAGTCAGAGGTGACATTTGTGTAACATACATTTCCTGTTGTTGTGGGATTTCTCCCATAATTCACATATTTTCCTACTCTGAGTCTCAGCTTTATTTATGAGCATGACTCTGGCCTTTTACTTGTGTCAAACTGATGAGTGATGTTTTACTATTGAAACTCCTATCCTGCTTGCTTCATTCATTCATTCACTCATTAAAATTATTCATATCACACAATATTCTAAATGTCAGTCATTTTAATATATTATTTCATTAAATCTCATAAAGTAAAAAAATTATTTTTCCTATTTTTCATATGCAGCAACTGATAGCAGAGAGGTTGAGTAATTTGCCCAAAGTCATGCAGCTAATAAATAGCACAGTCTGGGTTTAAATCTAGATTTGCTCCCAAATATGTGCATATCTGCAAAGTTAATACTGAATTAAAATAGGAACAATGAAACAATTCTATAACCTTTAGAAATAAATTATATGATAGTTAATTAATTAAATGCTTATCTGGTACCTTAATGTAGAATCAGAAATGTTGAATACTTGTATAAACTGTTATAAATAACTCATCTTTTTTCTTTTTAAAAAACTTCTCTCAGGTTAGTTAGTGGTTTTAATTCCTCTATTTTCGTAAGTGAGAGATGGAGGAGACAAATTGTGATAATAGTCAAAGTACCCTGATCATACTGTGAAGTTATCAGCTGAATTGAAATTTTAATTCCTTGGGAAATCCATTTGTTGTTTTCTCTCTGTTATATTGAGCATGGGATTTTAACAGAGATAGACTTCTGACCATGCATAAATCAGCACAAATGCAGATGTGAGCAGCTAGAAATTGGATCGAGCCAAGATGTAATGACTGCCACATGTGTGAAGCTAATGCTCAGTGCTTAATGACCCACTGTGAGTGTATGTGGGAGCCATGGG